AGCCCCAGGGAGACTAGGGTCCAGGGGCAGGATGCACTAATTATGGAAAGAGGAGAGGATGTGCAAGAGGCCAGAAGAGAGGGAGACCAGGTAGGGCTTGGCCAAGCAGAGGACGGTAAGTGTTCAGCACTGAAATGTACAACAGAGCAGCAGGACAGACCAAGCTTCTCACCACACGCCAACCTGGGTGGGGGCTGGCCCCCAAAACTGAGCTAGCCTACAGGCCCCCCACCATGGGCACCCTCCAGCTTTGGGGTCAGGGAGCCAGGTGTGTCATCCGACGGTCCACACTAGACAAGAAACTTCCGGATTTTCATTTCTTCTCCCTCTTTTATCACATTCACTGAAACGCCCTTGCTTCTTCAGGACCTCAGGCTCCATCTTGGTCTGTCTCCCTCCCTCCCCTACACCCCTGCCCTCCTCTCCTCCCTCTTTAAGGACCCATCTTATTTCTTGGACCCCCACTTCCCGGGGCTACTGTGTGAGCGAGTTTGTGTGTTGTTGGAGGAGCACCCTCAGGAGGATGGGGGAGCAGGGGTGGTGATGTCCGGGACGGCGATCATTCCTCCTCTCTCCCTCCCCGGCCAGCTGGAAATGTGCCCTGTGACCATCCGATCTAATTAACTGAAATTTCAGTCTTGACAGAAGGAGGCTTTAAAAAAATAAATAAATAAACAACGCTAGCTTTCTTGGCCCTCAGCCTCCTGAGAGATAAGGCAGAGGCTCTGACTGTAGGGAAGTGGAGTCCCAGCTCCCTGATTCCCGCTGCCAGGGGCAATCAGCTGCGAGCAGAAACCTCCATCTTGAAAACACCATGTGGAATGGAAAACCGTAACTGCACAAAAATGGTGACTCAGGAGTGCTGGGGCTCAGACCCCAGGGGAAACACAGCATCAGCAAAGCAGAGATCGGAGGTATGTCCCTTCTCGTACCTTCCATCAGGTGCCTGCCCTGTGGCCCCCAGACAGGCTCCCCGGGACCACCTGGTGCAACTCTACTCGTGCCAGCTCCTTCTTGCAGAAGCCCTAATCTCTCAGACGTCTTCCCAGACCCAGCTTTCTCGCCCTCTGGGCTCCCAGGGCCCTAGCACAGGCCACCAGGCTCCCTGCCCACCCACCTCCCCTTACCCAACCAATGGCCACATGCAGGCCCCCTGCTTCGCTGAAAGGGCATCACCAAAGGGACTCCAGTGGCACATGGAGCAAAGGCAGAGCCACTGGGGATGGCCTCAGGGGCCCTTAGAGATGGCAGGAGGACACAGAATTCTCCCAATAAGGGCTGCAAACTCAGACAGAGCTACAGAGCATGAGAAGCCTGTGGGGTCATTGTCTTCTAGAGACAAGAGGAAGTAGCAGTGTTTCAGGTGCCACCGCAGCGCCAGCCTGCTTCCCCCCCGACCGCCGCTCATCTGATTTTGTCATAATCAAAACATCACACCAGACAGCCCATCCAGAGAGTAGCACCGGCCAAGCTCGTCTCCCGTCACCACCGTCCCACCCTCACAGGCCCCACACTGGAGGCGGCTGGAGGCTCTGAGTCAGACCCACGGAGTCTGGACAAATGCCACTCGGGGTCACTGGAACTTAACGGAAGGCAGCGGATAGACAGGGCGGCAAGGGGATTGCCCCAGACAGAGAGCCATGCCTAGGGGGAATGAGGGCACAACTCCAACTCTGAAAGGGGTTCTGCCTCCTCCCAGGGAGCTCCGACCTGGGTGGGAAAGACAACAAGCATAGAGTGCCTCACCAGCCATCGCCATCCAGCCCAAGTAAACCTCGCCAACACGTCACTCAGACGAGCCAGCATTCAAACCTCAGAGACCGCCCCCCACACCCGCACACACACCCCCCACATGCACACACTTATACTTTTGGCTCTCTGGCCTTTATTCCCCAGGGTGGTTATCGTCTCTTTACACTCGGATTTATAAGCCTAGTGACCTACAAATAATTTTATTCCTTCACTACTCTTCACTTGACCATAAAAAGTGGATGAGCTCTCAGCCAAACAGTGAAGCCTCCCACTGGTGGTGGAAACTGTTGGGAAACCACAGCACAGTTTTAAACCAAACTGTGCTTTTCCTATTAGAAAAAAATATATATATTTCCCCACATCAAGGGGTGATGACCACATGAAGAACGTTTAACCTCAGTTTAAGCAAAGTCTGAAATATTTTCCAAGTTGTTAGAGAAAAAATACTGATTTCTTGCCTTTGGTAAATATGATCTATTGAGAAAAAATGACAGAATGTAGGATATTATGGTCAAATTCCAAAATGATAACCAGCCTGGGATCAAATGGATTTATTTGATCTCATTGACAGTATTACAGAGTACAGAACTCTCAAATATGAAATCAGAGTCCAATTTTTTTTTTTAATTTCCAAAGGTTGGTTGTAGGGGTTTGCTAGTCTTTGTAGTTTCTACTTTATTTCAAAGGGGGCTCATGAGCCCCCTTCCCACCTAATATCAATCAATATCTGACCTTTGAAAATTGAAATTGACATTTATTATCCTTTCCCATGACGCCAGCATTGCCAATTACACTTAGCACCAACGTCAGATGGGACAGATGCTCACCTACCCTCTGGCTGAAAATAGCTATCGTTGTTATCAGGAAGGGCAAATGTTCTCTGCCTGCTTAATAGCCCATTAGGCCACTCTGTGAAATAGGCAGACAAATCCCCCAAAAAGCATCCGCTTCACCCACCGTGGGATGCCAAAGACTTCACGTATCAGTTGGTGAGAGCACTTTTATCCATTCAAAACAGAAAACTATCAGCACCCCGATTCACAGGCATAATCTGCACACTCGAGTTTGCAGAACCCAAGGGTGCCACGGTTTCAGAACAAGATGCTGGACTCCAGGAAGATTCCACAAACCTTAGCGTTGGCCTCCTCTCTCCGTCTTTGCCAACACCACGTAACATGCCAGCGATGCCACAGTAGGTAATTTAGTCGAATTCCAGGGATCCAGGGATCTACGGTGTGCAGTCCACAGCATTCTACTGGGTTTCCCTGGAAATGCCTCAGAGCAATTTACACTAATTCTCCTTCTTGCTGGAAAAATCTCACAAACTACCTTAATTGCTTGAAACAATTATACTATATTGTAATCATTACACTGCCTTGTAATTATTTGCGTCGTGAATGGGTCTCTCCCCCTACCCCCGCCCCCTGCACCTCTACCTCCAGATGTGAGCTCTTTCAAAGAGTTCCCTGTGGCCTCAGTGTTCGCTATGTGCCTGGTACATAGAAAAACTCAGTACCTTTGGTTGAATTGAATAAATATGAACCGAAGCCACGCCGATCACTTCTTCTTAGCTTCTGTTATGGCCCCATAATTTAAGTTATATTTAAGTGGTTACTCGGCAAGGCTTATCACGAACCTTGAACATCTACTGCAGGCTTCTGTTACCATAGACCAATGTAAGTGGGAAATGAGCAGACATTTTCGAGTATCTATGTAATTGTCTCCTTAAGTGTCTATGTCCAAAAAAAAAAAATTTTTTTTTTTAAGTAATCCTGATTACTAGCATTTCTAAGGCAAATCTCACATTAAAGTTAAGTAAGTATGTGTAAGCCTAGCTCAGTGTCTGGTGCACAGGAATGCACTTGCAACGTTAGTGCTCTGTCCCCACGTTCTGCTTGCTGTGTCTGGTAATGTCAAAGCCTGAAGGTAACAACTTAGTTAATGCTTTCCCAGCCACTGACACCAGCCCCACCACTTCGGGCCAGTGGCGGGAGCAATCATCCAGACACCTGGTCACAGTCTTTTTTTCCTGAAACCAGTGAATCGTTGCTCTGTTTTAATTTTACGTGCCTCTCTCCCCTCCCTCCACCTCAAGCCATGGTCGTTTGATTAAAGCCAAACTAACAAGTGGAAGATACCTGTCAGCCACCAAGCATGCAAGACGGGACTAGGCAACAATGAAGGGAAGAAAGAGGTTTTCAATCTTCTTCAAAATTGACAGAACGATTTAGCAAACCATAAAAGGCCCTCCCTCGCATATCAGCATAGACTGATTTCTAGCCTTGTGAGATCACGTGGGGGGGAAGGCTGCAACAGAAAAGAAGTGCCAAATGCAGCAGAGACAACCCAGAGCAGAATGTGTCCCCTGAAGAACTGTGCCACCAGCGAAGGACAGCTTCCCAGACACGGACAAGCAGGACAACCCCATGGAACGGGAAAATGGAAATAGCCAACTACCTTGGCTTGCTCACGAATTCATCCTCTTACCACAATTAGCATCTCTGAGGGTTCCCGACCAAGAAACTCCCTAAGCATTGGTGGCAGCTATCCTGACCTTGCCTGGGCAGTCACATGCACACCTGATCCCCAAGCCTCTCGTTCTTGGGGAAACACAAGATCCTACCCCTTAGCGACCCACCCAGACACAAACTCCCAATGCTATGCAGCCTGCAACCCCCAGCAGGCCTCACCAAGTACAAAGAATGACACGAGGGATTCACAGGTTGCCACGAGAATTCTCCAAGCAACTCGGGAGACGCACTGAAGTTAGATCCCAGGAGCTAGTTTCGTTAGGTGGTGAAGTCATACCCGGGTAACCAAGTAAGATTACCGATCATTGTCTGTTTGTTGTTTTGGGGTTGTTGGTGTTCTTTTCTTTTCTTTTTTTTTTTTTCTTTTTAATGCTACATGTATTTGTTGCCTTGATTTATTTTTTTTTTTAAGTAGGCTCTCTGTCCCAACATAGGGCTTGAACTCACAACCCCAAGATCAAGAGACACATGCTCTTCCAATGGAGCGCCCCTGTTTTTAATTTTAGGAGCAAACTCTGTAAGTCTAATGCCATCAAAGCCAGTGAAGGCAATTCTGACCCACAGGCACTGACACTTGAAGGAACCGCTGTCATGCTCTGAGACCATCTACAGGCCTAAGAGGCACATCTGTCCGTCCAGACTAGACTGCCGATGGGCATCCAAACTTCTGTGACCTCTGAAGGTCACCGCCAGAGAAAGAAACTCAGGTGTACTTACGAAGGGCATGCCACTCGTCCTGACGGATGGTCTTCGTGATGTTGAAAGTGAGGTTCCTGGGGATGGTGGCTGAGGAGTAGTGGTATTTGATGTACGTGCATCGTTCAATTTCTCCTGCCGAAGAGAGACAGGAAACCGAACATTAATGGGCAGCAACCGCATCTTGAGGCAGTTTCCGGGACCCACTTTTCTGTCCTGGGGAAAGAGACTTGTCTCCTATCAGGCCTGGTGACAACTATAGTTTACACAAGGCATTAACTTTGACTCCAAAAAGTCATGTCTACTTTCCAGAGAGTCAACTACAAAGTCCAACACCATTGATTTAGATAGAAAAATACCTCCCCGGCATCATTCAGGGATGGAAAGAACCAGCCTCTTCTCAGCCTTCTGCGGGGAGGGAGGGTGGAAATCAAGCCCCTTAACACACTCAACATCAGGTCCAATGGGACCTTCCCTGATCATTTGACTAGCGAAGCATGCATTGCTCACTTATCAAAGGACTCCTATCTCAGAACAGAGTTTCTCAAAGTGTGGTCCAGGGACCATCAGCATCCTCCAAGAACTTGCTAGAAATGTCCTTTCCTAGGCCTAATCCCAGATCTGCCAAATCAGAAACTCAGAGGTAGAGCTTGCCATTTGAATTTTAATAAGCCCTCCAGGTGATTCTTTTGTACGCCAAAGTTTGAGAACTACTGCCCCCGAGAATCTAATAGAATTACCAATGTATTACTTCATAAATCCAGCATGTTTGCAAATTCCAAAAGAAAGGGCCAATCAGGAGTTCCTTCCCCGTTACTTTTGGTCTCCGTATATCTGGGGAATATTAAAACTCAGTGTGGAGGGAATCATTATGAAGAATCAGGGAAGAAGTGATTTTTAAGGGTTAGGGGTTTAAAATGTGGTTTTGCACCTGAGTAGATTTTGATGGTAATCCATTTGGCACCCCACTGATTTTCAATTTATAAGTGGTGACACCTGATTGAATCGTTTGACCCCTGGCTCCCTGTCTGCAGGGAACCCAGCAATCGGTGAGGGGCAGTAATTGAGACAGTAGCTCTCGTGAAACGGACACCTTCCTGTAAATCCTCTCCGGACAACTGCCCTACTGTGAGTTCCTGCAGACACTCTTCCAGTGGGACAGACACTGTTCAAAGAGGCAAAGTTTGGAGAAAGTGCTAGACACGCTTTTCCTTTTTCACTTCCTCTGCCTCTGTCCCCATAGCCTCTCAATGTCCTCAAGTCTTTCACATGCCCCTGGCATGCCCCCTGACCACAACCCCCACCGGGCCTTCCTTCTTCCCTAACTTGCTATCTTGTTATGCCTTCTTGGAAAAGTAGTCCATCAGACCATCTCAACTCACGTTCATACCCTAAGACCATGATGCTCTGATTTCCATGACGATCTCCAATAGCATCACCTCCCATTTGGTCTACAACATGATAAACTCCCTGGCCATCCCCAATGCCTCCCCATCTCTAGTGGGGCCCATCCTCCCTGACATCCAGTTGGTCACCAAGTCGGAAGCCAGCCCATCCTCTGTGCCTTCAGCCTCTAGAGTAATTGTGTGAATACAACCATCCATCTCAGCAAACAGCCACATTTACTAAGGACTCGCTTGCAGGAAACGCTTGTCAAGGGCTTCATAAACCGACGGTTTCCTGCTCTACTCATGTCATGACACACACAGAAGAGATGTGTGCAAGGCTCCTCTGGATGAACAGATGCCGCCTCCCTGTGAAGGAACCAGCACCCCCAACCCACTTGTAACCCTCCATGTTCAGGACTTTTCCCAAAGGCAGAAACCCCCGTGCTAGATATAGTCTTACTTCGTCCTTCATACAACCCAATTAAGTAGGCGTTGCTATGACCGTCCGCATAATAGGATATTTCACAAAAGAGAAAAAAGGCTCAAAAAAATGAGGGGACTTTCCCGAGGAAATGGCAGCACTGGATGAGAACCCAGAAGCGTGTGACCGGAGCTTCCCTCCACCAGGACACCCTCCACAATGCTGCTTGGACTGTATTCCAGAAAGGAAACCAAGGTCTCTTTTATGCACGGGATCAACCGCACACTCCTTGGGCAGGAAGTCCCAGCCGGGGGGCTTTCCCACCCCACCCTGCATCCACTGTATCCGAGGCCTCTGCACCTTCCCTCCCAAGACGTGGCCAGTATGGTGGCTCCCTGGCAAAGCCTTCCTGGCAGCTTGGCCGGCACCCAGCAACAGCGAGCAATAGTGGTTCGGCCAGGTCCCTCCGCTCCCCTCCCTGAGCTCCTGCCCTCCTGCGGCAAGCACACCGATGGGCTGTGACTTATTGGTTTACACGCCTCGCTCCCCCCACTAGATTATGAGTTTCTCAAGGGCAGGGACTGGTCTTATCCATTCATCTCGCTCTGCCCGGCTCCCAGCACCGGGTGAGCACCAGTAACGCGTGCTGGGAGGAAGAGAACAATCAAAGCCGCCCTCTGCAAAACCACAGTGCGCGAGGCATCCAGCCGCTTCTGTTCCATGCAAGGGACTGAAATAATTGAGGCGAATCAGAATCTAACAAATGAAGGGAAGGGATGGCTGCAGAAGCCCTTTGCTATCTGGATACAGTTAGGGAGGGAGGCTTATCCGGTCACGGCGACGTGGGGAAAAACCAGATGGGCACAGAACAGCCTCTCACTGCACTTTGGAAATGTGAGCCCAGGGGCAACGAGGTCCATGTTTCTGGGTTTTGTTTTAAGAAGAAAGAGGAGAGGAAAATACAAAGGGTAGAGAATTGTATCAAGAATCCAGATCGTCAGTGACCTGATCATCGAGCAGGTGGTGCTGGATGCCGCTTCGTAGACACCAAGCAGGATCTCCCTGGAAATGGCCAGATGGGTGGCCATCACCGATGTCTGAGAAAAGTAGCGGATTTCTTGGCCAAGATCAGGTTCTCTCAGGCTCAAAGCAAACTCCGTAAGTGGCCATGGGTTCCAGGCAGGCTGCAGCCAGCTGCCTCCATCTCCCGCTCCCCCAGGCCCCCAGCCCCCCAGCCCTCGAGCTACCTGACACTTGGCGCTGCAGGTGATGGGCCCGAGTCAGGCCTGGAATAGCCCCGCTGGAGGCCTCACTATTTGCTTTGCCTCAGGGAGGCAAGCATCCTGTCTTTGACAGCAATTAAATGTGAAAGACTCAAATATTGCCTAAGAAGAGAGGCAAAATATTTATCCATGCGTCTGCAGGTCCTGTCAGTGTGCTGGGCTTTTGTAAATACAGGCGCCATCTGGGCACCGAATCCGTGTGCCCAGAACATGGGCTTTCCAATACAAATAGGTTTTCGGGCAACAACCCAGAGGGGCTACCTGAGAGGCAGGGGAGAAGCCCACAGCCTTCCCTGGAGGGAAGGTCAAAGCTGTCTTCCCAACTCCTACCTTCCAGCAGGGAGGCCTCAGCCTGGATAGGGTGGGGGGCACCCTCAGGAATGAGGACAACTTAAGCCTTCATCCATACTCTGCTTTCGGGGCTGGTGACCCTCCTGTTGGCCCCCTCAGGCTCCCGGGCAGACAGGATACCCAAATGGGTAGTTAAGAAGAATTTCAAAAATGGAAAATTTACAAAGCTGAGCACAGGGTGTGCTGAGGCCAACAATGGGGGTTGTGGGGATGTACAGCCAGTGACAGAAGGACTTGGTATAACCTAAGCCTGGAGAGACAGAGGGAGCAGACACCAGAACCTAGAAAGAATGGCCACAGGGGGAGGGGTGACATGACCTTGGGCAGAGGGTCTCAGCCAGCCGGGGGTGAGGGGACTAGGAATAAACATGCAACCTCTCACTCCTCCTTCCCCCAGTAGCCCAACCCACCAGAAGCTGGAAGAGGAGGGGGGGCAGGAGCTGAGAGCAGGTGCAAAGTGGAGGGGATCCGAGGGGCAAACCCGGGCATCCGGCTCACTTCCCTTTTTTCCCTTTCCTCCCTTGCTCCTCTCCCATCGCCCTGGCCCCGCTCTCCTTCTAAAGGCATCACTCCCGTTCTCCCTTAACTCCAGTGTCAGCCAGCTCCTTCTCCCTTCCACCTCCCCCTGCAAAGGAAGACCCCAGGACAAGGAAGAGTGGGAGACCGTTCCCATCCTTTTCCCCCATCTCAAATCCTTGAGGACCCAAGGCCCGAGTGTGTTGACTCACTTTAAGCCCTCAACGTGATCCTTACGCACAGGGAGCACTCAGTATCATTAGTCTCACTCGCTGTCCTACAACTGCTTACTCTAAGGGGGGCAAGACCAAAGCAAATCAGAAATAACATGAGCAACCACTGCTGACATCATGCCACATACATTTTAAATACATATATAAATACATAGATTATATATTTATATATATAATGAGAAATTTCCGCACACGAAAACCCTAGAAGGCTGGCACATCAAGAGTTCTGATGTACCCTAGATCAGGAGGAGACAGACCAGGGAAGGGAGAGGCAGAGACGGCACCAGACGCTGAATTCTGGATTCCGTTCATACCTTACAACTGCACTCGTAAGCAGTTCTCCTCTCCTGCGCATCTGCCATCGGTGAGACCTGGTTTCCGAAACCCTTGTGGAAGGCTTCAATATCTTAAGGAGGAAGCTTCTCAGGCAAAGCGATTGGAGAGGCAGCCCTGAGACCCACCCCCACCCCCACTCCACTGGAAATTCTCTGCCCTGAACAGGTGCCACAGCACTTTCAATTTTTCCATTAGAGAGTTGTTCCTTTGGATCAAGTACGATGCTATTAGAGCTCTAAAGGGGCTGCCCTCTAAAGACGTTCAGACGGGTAGCACTGAGTCACTAACAGGGCTGTGAGTAAGCGAGCTCCCAGAGAAGCTGGGAAGGGTATGAAGAATCCACTGAGGGAGGGGAAGGGCAGGGTGTGTGCAAAGGCAAACTCACAACTTCACAGGGTGGGCTCCAAGAAAAAGGAGGACATGGGAACTCCCCCCCCACCATGTTGAAGGTGGAGTGATTAGTACAGCCACTACGGAAAACACTATGGTGCTTCCCCAGGGACAAAAAATAGTACTACTGTATGATCCAGCAATCCCACTTACGGGTATGTATTTGGAGGAAATAAAATCACTATTTTTTTTTTCATTTTGTTTATGTTAAGTAATC